ATGCCTATCAACTCAGGAATGGATTAGAAAAATGTAATATTTTTATACAATGGAGTATTATTCAGCTATAAAGAAAGATAAACTTGAGACTTTTGTAGGTAAATGCATGCAACTCATAAGTGAGATAAATCAGATTTGCATGTATAGTCTCCCTAGTGTAAAAAACTGAAAGAGCAAATAAGATCCAAAAGGTGCACTAGATATTGTGAAAGTGAAAGGCCGGGCATGTGAACATCCTATAGTTTCCCTAGTTTAAGAATATGAAAGAGTAAATAAAACTGAAAGTTACAGTAGATAATGTGAAAAGGAAAGAAACTGCTGCATAGAAAAGAACAACTGGGATGAGGGAAAGGAGAAAAGAAAGAAAGAAGGAAGGTATACACACACACACACACACACACACACACACACACAATAGCTAAGATAATTATACTACTAATTTCTATTGGTTTATTGAAAGGAACAGTTAATGTTTAATTGATCAAACTTGCATACCATACGTCTGAACAACTACTTTGATGATAACCCTAAGTAATATAACAACTATTGTTGATATCATCTTGTTTTGAAATTCTGCATCATTTTTATAGTTTTTGTGTTGTTTTGTTTTTGTCATTTTGTTATTTTGCTTTTGTTCTTTTCTCTTTAAAATATTTTTTTAAAAAAGAGCTTCAGGAGTATTGGTGTTAAATCTTCTCTAAATTTCATGTAGAATTCAGCTTTGAATCCGTCAGGACCTGGACTTTTCTTTGTTGGTACATTTTTTAAAACGTTTTCAAATTTATTGTCTGATATTGGGTTATTCTGAATGCTTATATCTTTTTGATTCAGCTTTGGTAATTCATATATTTCTAGGAATCTGTTCATTTCTCCTGTGTTTTCCTTCCTATGGGAGTAAAGATTTTCAAAGTAGGTATTGATAATCTTCTGAATTTCCACAGGATCTGTAGTGATTTCATCTTTTTCATTCCTTATTGCATGAATTTGAGTTTTTCTTTCCTTTTCTTGATAAGGTTGGCTAGGGGTTTATCAATTTTATTTACTCTTTCAAAAGAATCAACTCTTCAATACATTCGTTCTTTGTATTGTTTTCTTCATCTCCGTTGCATTAATTTCTACTCTGATCTTTATAATTTCCACTCTTTGGGCTTAGGGCCTGAATTGTTCTTCTTTTTCTAGAAGCTTGAGGTACAGTATTTGGTTGTTTATTTGTGCCCTTTCTGCTTTCGTATTGTGAGAACTCACCATTATAAATTTCCCTCTGAGGACTGCATTCATTGCATCCCACAGGTTCCTATGAGTTGTCTCTGCATTTTTGTTTGATTCTACATATTGTTTAATTTCTCTTTAATTTCAATTGTGAACCATTGGTTGTTCAGGAAGGTGTTATTTAATTTCCATGTGTTTATGGAGATTTTGTGATTTCTTTTCTCATTACTTTCCAATTTTATTGCACTGTGGTCCCATAGTATGCATAGGATACTTTTAATTCCTTTGCATTTACTTAAGCATATTCTGTGGGCCAGTATATGCTCTATTTTAGAGAAGGTCCTGTGTGCAGCTGAGAATAATATTTATTTTGATGTTGTTGGGTGGAACACTCTGTAACAGTCCACTAAGTCCATTTGTTCACAAGTTTGCTTCAGTTCTGTTATTTCTTTGATGATTTTTTGGCCTAGTCAGTCTATCTCTTTGTGACAGTGGGATTTACTGTCCCCAGTGACAGCTGTGTTATTGCTTATTTAATTTTTCATGTCTATTAAATTTTTCTTATATAGTTGGTTGCTCCCATATTTGGTGCATATATATTTATGCTTGTTATCTCTTCCTCTTGAAGTTTTCCCTTAACAAGTATGTAGTGACCTTCTTTATCTCTTTTGATCATTCATGGTTTGAAATTCACATTGTGTGCAAACAGAATAGCTCCCCCTGCTTTTTACTAGGTTTCTGTTGCCTGGACTATTGCTTTCCATCCTTTGACTTTCAGTCTATGAAGTTGCTTTTGAGTTCAATGTGTTTCTTGTATAGAGTATATTGTTGGCTTTTGTTTCTGAATCCATGCTACCAGTCTGTTTCTTTTGATTGGTGAATTGAGGCCATTTACATTCATGGTTATAATAGACATGTATTGGCTTGTATTTGTCATGTTGTTTTCCTGTTGTTGGTTCCTCCTTTTCCTTCTCTGTTTAATTGCTTGCTCTGCTTGGTGGTTCCTTTCTGTTGTTGTCCTTGAAATTGTGGTCATTTTTATCTCTTTCTAGACTATCTCTCAGTACTCTTTGTAAGGTTGATTTGGTGGTCATGAATTTCTTCAGTTGTTCTTTGTCATTTCTTATTTCTCCATTAATTTCAAAAGATAGTTTTTCAGGGTACATCAATCTGGGTTGGAAGTTGTTTTCTTTCAGGACTTTAAATACTTCCCTCCAAGCTCTTCATGTCTTGATGGCTTTTTTTGAGAAGTCTGCCATGATTCTGATGGGCTTTCTTTTTTAAGTGATCTCTTTCTTCTCCCTAACAGCCTTCACTATTCTGTTATTATGCTTAATTTCTGGGATCTTGATTATTATATGTCTGGGTGTAGATTTATTTTGGTTTTAGGGAATTGGAGTTCTATATTCCTCTCTTACCAGTATGTCAGATTCTTTTTTCCATGTTGGGAAATTTTCTGCTATTACTTCTGCAAATAGTCTTTATGTCATTTGTGTTGACGCCTGCTTTTTTATAGACACCTATTAGTCTTCTATTATTTTTTGCATTATCTTAGAACTGTTGAATTATTTCCTGGTTCCTTGTTATTTTTAAGAGAACTTTCCTTTCATGATCACTAACTGCAACTCCATCTTCCATGTTGGAATCTATCTTCAGTTTTCTTCAAGTGGTTTTTGCCAGCTTTCAAATGATTTTTTTCTCTTTTTGAGACAGGGTCTTGTTATGCAGTTCAGGCTGGCCTTGAGCTCACTTTGTTGCCCAGGCAGGTCTAAAACTCACAAGAATCCTCCTGCCTCAGCCTCTTGAGTGCTGAGATTACAGGCGTGTGCCACCATGCCTGTTGATTCAATGGAATTTTTATCTCTTTGAATCTGTTTCATACATTCTAATTCTTTTCTACATTATTCATTCAAGGTTTCGATCATTTTCCTATGCTCCTCTATTTTTTCTTTAACTATGTCTCCCTTAGATATGCTGAGCAAATCTTTCACTTTGTTGGTCATTTTTTTTTTTTTTTACCTCAGAGATTATTTCTGATCTTATTTCTTCCGTAGCCTTGTGGAGTTGTTTTTCTTGCTTCCGTTTCTGTCATTTCAGAAATTCAGAAGTCAAGTGCTGAGTGACTTCCAGTTTCTTCTATGTTGGTGTCTCCTGGACTTGTTCTGGGTGGGCTGTAGGTCTGAGACTGCGTTTTGGTCCTTCATCTTGACATTTTCTGGCTTCCTGGGATTAAGGCTCTCATGATAGTGGAGGGCTAGTGGTGGGTCTTTCCCCTCCCTCACAGCTCACTGATCCCCTGCACTGGCTGCTTGACTGGTGGAGGGGAAGTACGTGGCTATTTATAAAGAGTATAAATACTTATACTTCTTATGCAATTTGGCCTGGCCTTGAGCTCACTTTTAGCCCAGGCTGGGCTTGAAATCACAGCAATCCTCCTGCCTCAGACTCCCAAGTGCTGAGGTTACAGGCATGCACCACCACTTTTGACAAGTGCTTTTCTTTTTAGGTGGATCATAGTTGAGATCTCTTGGAATACTTTTGTTACTTTAATATCATGGAGTTACACTAAAAAGGGTCAGAGAAGGAAAGTGCATCAAAGTCTGCAGGGGAACTGATGGAGATTGGATTATTTGGTGGAGAGGATATACTAGTCTCAGAAGAACTGAAAGGATCATTAAAGACATCAGTTTCAGGACTAGGAGGTGAGAAATTCAAAACACACATTGGGCAACCTTACCAACATTGGGGATCCTGTGACAAGACCAGGAAGGATTTAACATAAACAATCTCAGAATCTTTGACCGGATAGCCTCAAAAGAGGTTTAGTGTACTATGTTGTATCTTCAGGGACCAACACATAGTGGTTCTTTCATAACTCTTTGTTAGATGGGACTGACAGTATTGCTCAGTGGTAGAGTGCTTGCCAGCATGTATGAGGCCCCAGGTTCCATCTCCAACATCTCAAGAACAAAACAAAGCGCAAGAAAGGAAGAAAGGAAGGAAGAAGAAGAAAGGAAGAAAGAGAAGGAGCAAAAGAAAAAGCCTGTTAGATGAATTCAAATGCTATTCTCTTTTCTGGAATCTATAAACAAGAGGGTTTTTAAAGCTGTGTTTGATACCTATGTATTTTTGAAATTAACTTCTTAATTTTAAGATGTGAAGACTATAAATGTTTTGATAAAGTGGAATTAAGCACTATTTTGCTAGAGGCATTGACTGTCCTTTTCTCTAAGTCAACAGTGACAGAATTAGTGACATCTCAGAGCAGATGACAGGACACAACAAACATTTTGATGCTGATTAGAGCTCTGTGCCAAACAGGATTCACATCCAGTAACTGTCTTGGTAAGAGGTGCCTAGTGCCTAGCTCCAGTTGTCAGATATCCACTACGTGCTCTGGTGAGAGGTAACATCTCAGGCTTTTTTGTGTTGATGTTCTTGTAGTCTTGAGCAGGACTGATGAAATATAGACTATGCCTCAAGATGAGTGTTTTCTTTTCTGTGTTTCTCTGTGTTGTCCTGAACATGGAACCTAGGGCTTCTTGTACTCTAGGCGAGTATTTTATCACTGAGGGAAGCTCTCAGCAACCAATTGGAATCTCCTGGTGTTTTTCTCATCATTGACACTAACTTACAGTTTTTATGAAGTGAACACAGAGGCCAAGGGTCTTTGTTATGCATATCAGGACACCAACATGTCTTATCTCTGGTTGCTACTGTTTTGCCTTTCTCTGCCCTTTTCTTTGGCTGTGTAGGCCACCCTCAAAGAGGGAGGGGAAGCAAACTGTCCTCTGGGAGGGGGAGTTTCTACATACGCTATACCACTTGGGTTTCGACTGTAAGGAATATTTGTCTTTTCCTCTCTCATTTATTCATTCAAGTATTTATATCAGACTAGACTCATATGTCCTACTTGGGTTATAATCCAATGCAATGTTATCTAATTTGTTGCTCAAATTAGTCCAGATTGACTATCGTGAGCATTTACAGGCTGACTTCTATTACAGTTCTCATGGACTTACCTGATTCATTGCAACAAACTGCTTTACTAGGATAGAATGTTGAGCTGAACTCTTGAGAGTCTGTGCAGATGGCCTAATACCACTGTCAGCTACAATCTTGGTCTCTAGAACTCCAACCCTTGGAGCTTGAAGAGCTGGGGACAACATAGTGTCTCTATGCAGGAGATGGAGCTCCCTAGTTTGCTGATATGACTGGGGGGCATATCCTGTTCAATCTGCCCTCTGGGCCTTTTCTGCTGATGAGGATGGGTGGGACAGGCGGGAGAAAGGACAAAGCTGGAGCCACAGGAATCAAACAGTGGAATGGCAGAGTTAGTGGGTAAAATGGAAGCATTACCCATCACAGTGATCCTCCTACCTCACCCTCCTGAGTGGTGGGATTACACCTGTGCCCAAACACAACTGACAAACTTTCTGCTTAAGGAGTGCTTTGGACACAGTGATGGTGCTCACCTTTGCTCAGGGGAGAACTCCAGGGACTGCGGAGCCTATGCATCCTCACTCCCATTTTATATCAGTATATGATCGGGACATATGAGAAATACATTCATGGAGGGGGAATTGGTACTCATACAGTGACGCCTTGACCCTTTTAACTTTCCCTTCCCCTCTATTTCATTTCCCCATACTCCCAGATCCACTTCACTTCTCTACATGGTCTGTCTCTTTTCAATCATCTGGCCTTTATTTTCCTTTTTAAATCCATTTTACTTTGGGTTTTTCATATAAGAGAAACCATGGGATATGTAACCTTCCATGTTTGACTCATTAGTATCATGGTCTCAAGGTGTATCCATTTCTCTACAAATAACTTGAGCATATTATCCTTCTTGATACAAGAATAGGACTCCACTGCATGTTGGTCCCATATTTTCTTTATGTCTTCATCTGCTTTGGGACATAGAGGCCACATGCAAGTTTTATGTGCAACAGCTAAGATGTTTAATCAACCTCAGTTAGGCCCAGACCCACACACGTTTCTCCAGGTCTTAAACACAGCCAGCATGTGTCCATTTTGTGCAGATTTCTTTGGTGCTTATGGTGACACAGAGCTGACCCTGACTTGTCTGTTTTTTATTTCAAAGAGTGAATCATTTGGAACCAGGAGAGTTGGGTGGAAGGATATGATCAGGAACCAGAGGTGACCGGGCAGTGACAATAGAATTTTTCACTCACAATGAAGCCAATTAAAAAGGTCAGCTTCAATTGCTTTTTTGGCAAAAGTGTGGTCACTTATCTGCCAAAGAATCAGGGTGAACATCTCTGTGAAACTTGCTCTCCTGAGCGGGAGGTGCTCCATGTGCTTACTCCCCTCAGGCGGCAGAGATCACGTGTCCTCATCCACAAGCATTTGGAGCTCCTGGGAAGGGTGAGGGCTGGGCTCCAAGAGCCAGTGGTTTATAAAGCAGCAGAAACCTCACCTTGAGCAGAGCACTTCAGGAATCCACACCATGAAGGGGACGCTCCTCGTGCTGGCCTTGCTGCTGACCACAGATCTGGGCTTCCAGACGGGTGAGAGTGGGCAGAGGGAGCAGAAGGCTTTCCTCATCCTTGCCCCACTTCATCTCACCCCGCCCTCCCTCGGTGACCTCCAAGCAGCTTGTGGAGACAGAGTCACAGGGCATCGGGGAGATCATTGCCCGGGAGTCCTGCAGAAAAGCCCTGGAGCCCTCAGCCTGTGAACCAAAGGAAAGAGTTGATGCCAGATGGGTCATTAATTGTGCATAGAGTAGGGAAGGGATTTGGGGTGATGGTTGTTCTTATGTGGAGTCCAGTAACATACAGGCCACTGTGCTTGGGTAGTGCCCAGGGCCAAGGAGTCACTTGTCCTGGCCCCTGAACTGCTCCCTGTGAGAGTGCCTCATGGAGAATGTGCCCTCTGTCTGAGATTGCAGCAGTCATGAGGGTGGGCAGCACTCTGTGGAAAATCACCCAGCACACAGTAGATACAAGTGGAAGGGCGGCATGGACTTCAACCCAGCCCATCCTGGGAACTCCTTTAATGAGATGTTTTCTTGCTTATGTTTTCAGCAAAAGGTTGTCCTGCCTTTTATGATGTCTTCACAAAATTGGCCTTGGGACTCAGGGAACCATTGTTTGCGGCCCTTGATGTAGTCAGTGCTACTGAAGCGGAGAAGGTCGCCTTTGGAAAAATCCAGGATTGCTACAATGAAGGAGGACTCAAAGCCAAGACATTGGACGCTACTGCCTTGGTAACTTCCTCTCGAATTCCTTTGCTCCCTCTCATCTACAGCATATGGTAGTATTTCCTGTAGAAAAAGATCATAAAATCATATAAAGTATGACAGTTGAGATCTCCAATGAAACACAAAGAGCTTTGCTCCATTCTATGGCAAGATCATATCATGTGCACATCCAGCCTGTTATGCTGTCACACCTGTTCCTTTAACAACAGTTTGCCTGCACACACATAGGTAGGCAGGAGAATAGTCTCAGCGAAATGTAGAAAGTGTTTCCACTCCTGTGATTTCCACCCATCCCCAGGTTAGAGGACGTAGCATAGCAGGAGCAGTGTTAAGCTTCTGCAGTAAGGAGACTTTAGTGCAGCTGCTGCACATGGAGGAGCCCATGATGTTTGCTTTAGAGACTGGAAGAATTCTTCCTCATGTGCAGTTTCACTTCCTTTAGTGCCCACCTTGATGGCTACCCCACCAGGTGAGATAGAAACCCACACCCACCTGCATCGTCTCTGTGCTCACACCCAGAATTTTCACTCCCAGGCTTGTGTCCCTGAGGCCTCTGAGTCAGCCTCTGGCTACATGTAGCTGCTTACCCAACCTGCTCTGTGCATCTCCTGACTTTTAAAAAGGGTTCTTCTTCCCGAATTGTGCAGATTTCCCATGGTCTGTGTCTTATCCTATTTTCCAAAGTGCTTTTATTGACAAATTGGTAAAATGATTGACCCCCCCAATGAAAGAACAGGACTTCTTCTACTAAGATAAGTGTGCACTATCCATGAGATTGCTTATTATATGTACACATACATTTTATATGTACTGGACACTTGGCAGATGGCTTCAAGTAGATTAGACTGCACAACAACCCACACTCTGACACCTTGCCCCTCCCGCAAACCTGGCCCCTACCATGCCCTCCGGAACCTCCTCATCTCCCCTGTCTTGCTGGTTTGCTGGTCCAGACTCCTGTTTGACAGTCATGTACAGGTGGTCAGGGGACCATTTTTCTCCTGCCAGGGCCAGCCTTCCTCCTGAGGACTTGAGGGCCAGAGCTTCCTGGGGAAGTAGGTGAATCAGAGAGCTTTCCATCTTTGCAGATGAGCAGTGTGGGAGAACTGGATAGCCCTGCCAAAGGTCCAGAATCTGCCTGAAGCCAACTCTGTGTCTTTGTCTTACTTTCTTCCAGCTCACAATCACCTTAAGCAAAGATTGCTTATCGGAGAGTTTGAAAACAGCAGCCAAAGATATTGTAAAATTTCCAAGATATCTTTTGGCAATGCTTTTCAAACAGAGGAGTTGAATCTCTGCCTCTGGGCCTGATCCTAGCACCATCTTCCTGCCCTGTTGTTCTCTCCTGAAGCTGGGATCCTGACACCTGTTCTCACCTGTGCAATCTCTATTGGGCAACTCTAATAAAATCCCTGCAGCCCAGCTGTGTGTGTCCCATATCTGTATGCTTGGTGGGAACTGTGTGAAGCCTGACCAGAGATCTTGTAAGGTGGTGAGAAGTTGATATGGCAAGCGAGTTCATTAACAAAGACATAAACATGGAAATGGAAAAGGCATGAATGAAGAAAGCTTTATTTTAGCTGGCTAATGGACAGTCTAACCAGGAGCCAAAGATGTCCCTGCTGAACTGGGCCTCACCTTTACTTTAAGTATATTTTAGGTTTCTGTAGTAACTATTACCTCCTTGTCCCAGAAGATCAGACAGTTGAATTTTAAATGATCACTGGAGTTTAACTTCTAGCCCACTTTTCAATTTGTTCTGTTTGTTTTGTTTTTATTTTATGACTGTTTTTCCTTAAACGAGTTGATGATTAACCAAAGTCAAGGGGTGAAAAGTGGGGATCAACTCTAGTTTAAGTGAACTTTAAGTGACTTCTCTTAATATGGAGTTAAAAACAGCAAGTGGAGTCTCTCTTGCCCTATCATTTTCCTGTGAAGGACGTATTTTTTGAGGACATATATAGTCTTTCATACATTTTACGATCTGGTCTCCACTCTATAATTGGTGGGGTTTTTTAGAACTATCATTTGTGTTTGGTTTACCTTATTTTGGAACCTATTTTTTATCCAATTAATTATGCACAGCCCAAAAGTAAGGACCACCACAATAATCACCACTGGCCCTGTGATCCCAGCAACTAGGGAGGTTACTCCCGGGTCCTAGTTGAAGAGTCTTTTATATCACTCTTGGTGGCTATATGTTTTTTCCTTTTTTTTTTTTTCTTTTTAATCCAACTGATCAAGAACATCTATGATGACTCCTGAGTAGTTTGCATAAACAGAGCTTTTTTTCCCTTAAGGGCAGCACATACCCCCCCTTGTTTTATAAAGAGTAAAATGAGTCTTCCCTTAGTAACACTACTTTTGTGAAAGAATTAATCTGGTTATGTAACTGCTGGACCACATTTTGAACTCCTTTTATACTCTTTTTTTCATTGTTTTTGGTCACATATAGAGTCTCCACTTTACCAAGTCTATGTCATCATTATCCACTCTAATTGTCTTTCTTTGAACCTCACGTATGGTGAAAGGGTGAGTCTCAGGATTGGCTTTGTCTCACCACTAGTAGGGGTTTTAAAACTTATATGGGGGGCTTATAAATAGAACATCTTTCTGGTCACACAGGAGATGCAGTGAGGCCAGCTCAGCTTACCAACGGCGAATAGAGTCTTCTCGGGGGTAAACAATGGTGTAATTATAAGGTGCTCCCCAGTCCATCCAGAGTCCTTACCTCTTGTAGTCCTTTGAAGACTGCAAAAGCAGGGGATGCCTCTCTAGCATCATCACAAACAAAGTGAGCCCATCCTGCTATGGGGTGCATCAAGACCTCAGCAAAGCCATCAGCAACCTTGTCATCCAGTTTGCCCCAGTCTCTTGGCACAGCTTGGCTAAGGTAGACTTTGAAGTTTGATTCTGTCTCTCTATCTGGCCAGAATTCTGCAGCTAGTAGGTGGTGTGTAGCTTTTATTTTAGCCCCAAGGCTGTGGAAAGGCTCTGAACCACTCAGCCCATGAAGGCAGGCCCAGTATCTGAACCACTGTCATGGGGAGATCCCACTGGGGAATAACTAGCTCCATCAGAGCTTTTATTACCTCTCTAGATGTTTTAGTTCTTGTGGGGATTGCCTCTACCCAGTCTGAATAGGTGTAAATGAGGACTGTCTTGGTTACTTTTCTCTCGTTGCTGGGAGAAAATGCCTGATGCCCAAAATTAAGGAAGGAAAGGTTTATTTCGCTTACCGTTTGTGGAGGTTTCAGTCCATACTTGGCAGGTTACAAGGCAGAGTGGCACATGACAGAGGGCTACAGCTCATGGCAGCAGAACACAGCAAAAGCAACAAGCACACAAGGGAGGAATGGCCGCAAGCAGCCTCTTCCTCTCCCTTACATATGCAAACTATCCACCCCAGGGCGGGTGTAGCTCTCACACCCATAATCAATCAAACTCTAAAAGCCTGCCCCATGACCCCATGAGGCTTTGGGGGGGACACACAGACACAAACCATAACAAGGACCAACAGATATTTTTGGTTTTTAAGGGTGATTTTGATTTCTGTGAAATCCACATCAATATTCTCAAAAGACAGGGTTTTTTGTCTGCAGACTCTGGGCAGTTTCTGTGGATGAAAAACCGGATTGTTGTGAGCACAAGCCACACATCTGCTTTGCCACAGAAGTGCATAGAATCTAAAGTGTACAGATGAAGAAGGGATGGTCAAACAGCTCAGCCATCGCTATTTTTTCCAAGTGAGTATGGCTGTGCAGCTCCTGGATCACAAAATGTCTCACAGCCTCTGGAAGGAACACCTCTCCTCCCAGCAAAACTTGCCTTCCATTTTGTTTTGTAGCTCCTTCTGTAGTGGCCCACTTCAGTTTTGCTTCTGAATATTTGGGTGGCTTGAGGATCGGTGCCACTAGAGCTTGGGCCACAGGGTGTAAGTCTCCAATGGCAGCTTGTTGGCTGCTGAATTTGTTGCTTGTTTTTGGGGGGGCCTCTAAGGAATTATTTTTCTGATGGCCTGGACAATGGATCATGGCTACCTTAACTGGCAGCAAAACAACCTGTAACAAGTTTAATATCTCTTGAGAGTGTTTAAACTCTCAGTACCCCCCCCCAGTAATCAGGAGGCCCCTTTCCTGGTAGATGGCATCACGTGCATGTAAAGTAGCAAAGACATATTGGGCTTACCTTTTCCTCTTTTTAAAGCCCAAGTAAGTGCCATCAGTTTGGCCTTTTGTGCTAACATTTTAGGAGGCAAGGCCTCAGACCTGACAGTTGGCTCAAGGGTAACAACTGTTGTTTCCACACTCCAAACCCCACTGATTATCATGCTCTTGCCATCCAAGAACAGTGTCAAGTGAGGGTTCTGGAGGTACATATCTTGCAGGTCTGGTCTGGCTGTGTAGATTGCCTGGATTGTGTTTACGGAGTCATGCTCAGGTGGCTCCGATGATGTCAGTAAAAGGGTGGAAGGGTTGAGGGCCCTCAGGTACCCCTAGTAAAGTATATTTTTGTTTTTCCCTGTGGATCTTTTTCTTCAAAACTGAACAACTCTTGGGATGCAACAGATAAAAGAATAGGGAAAAAACCCTTTAAATCCAACACAGAAAACCAAGTCTAAGTAGGTGGGAGTTGACTAAGCAAGATATAGGGGTTGGGTACAGTAGGGTGAAGGGTTACAACAAGGACATTCCTTGCCCACAAGTCCTAGACTGGATGATGTCCATTTGTCCCAGGCTTGGGAACCAGCAAAAAGGAGTATTTTAAGGAGACTGACTTTTTTTTTGGATGACTAGGGCCATATTGGTTATCCCTTTACCGCACCTATCTTTTTTTTTTTTTTTCTGGTACTGGGAATTGAACTCATGATCTTGGGCTTGCCAGGCAGGTGCTGTGCCACTGAGCTAAATCCCCAGCCCGCCCCCATCTATCTTATAATTTTTGGTCTCCAAACCTCAGTTACTAAACGTCCAGAAGAGGCTTGAAATATAAAGTATAGCAAGAGAACTGCTACTTCTCACCAAGCATAAATGTTCTATTAGGTGAATCCCTGTAGAGTGTTCACAGACAGCAATTATATAATTCTACAGAGAAAATTTAAATGTAGTATTACAACACAATAGTCATAATGACATTTTTTGTAACATATTTAAATCTCCATCTTGGAATAGAACAGTCTTCTAGTCAGTAATCTCTACCTAATACATAAGATGCTTTGGTGTAATTTTTTGTCCTTATATCGAACAAATTTGTAACATTGGGCTGTTATTAATTTTATCCGTTTACATAACGTTGATTTTTTTCTAGACACACTTTGTATTCCTTTTAAGTAGAGATGTTCTATAACTTCAAATTCCCAGTAGAGCGTCTGATCACACTTCTGTATATGTAAGTGCTTCTGAATATGTGATCAGTTAAGTTCTCAGAAAGAAAAGATACCCTAGGAAGTATCAGGAAAGGTCAGTTCACTCAATGCATCATTTCTACAGATAAACACAGAAGGCCCAGAGAAGGCAAGTAAAATTATTTGTGTCATACCACAAAACTTTGGCACTAAGAAAGCTCAAATATCATGTGTCCATGTGCAATTTAGCTAAAGAAAAACATGAAGCTATTAGGTCAATGGCCAACAACATGGATAAATTAATTCTGGTAATAAATGAAGTGACACAATGTCAAACTTGTATTATACTCATAGCCAAACAGGATCTATATAGCTTGAGTTTCTACAGAATTCTGCCATTGTAAGAAGCTTATTTAAACAGAGCCATACATTAACCATTACAATACTAATATGATTTTTAACATAATAATATTATTTTTAATATACTATTATTTTTAATATACATGAGGTCCTACAAATAGGCCCTCACGTTGACTTGACATGAACCTTTTATCACAAATATCTGGGGCACAAGAGAAAGGCGGTTGTCTGAATCTGAAAGAAAATGTCTATCTCTATAGATAATCACAGCTTTACATTTTAGAATACTGTACATTTAGAAGGTATAAATACATTTACTACACCATGAAATTAACAAGAACAAATTATTATTTTGTTTCTCAGTTTTGTACCAATAGCAATTTTTAATTAAAAAACCTTATTGCCTTCTTTTTGAAAACTTAACCTTTTGACAATGGCGAACATAAACATAATGCAGTAATATATTTTGAACAGTATCTATTGGGGTGTCTTCCATAAGGCTATGGCAATTATTGGGGCTCCTTATTAATGAACAAAAACCTCTTAACATTATTCCAAGCAGCTGCTTTTCATTTATCAATCAGAGTCCTGTCTAATAATCTCTCCCCACCCTAAGAGATTTTATTTAATTATTTTAATAAATTTTTGATAATCCATGAAAAGATGATCTCTACTGAACAAAGAGAGGCTCTCAAATCATGATACATAAACAACAATCAGCATTACATTTATAGAACCAATTTTAATATCATTTTGACCAGCCAGCAACTTTTGGTGGAAGCATATCTTTTACTTAGATGATGCTTATCTATAAGCCAAATTAAATTTTAGACAATTGTTTCAAAATTACCAAAAAAAATACAAAAAGAAGAAAAATGTGTAGAGCTCAAATCAAAGAGCTATTTACAGATTGGACAGAGAGACAATCAAAAACACAAGACAATTTGCTTACAAAATCAGAGTGTACTCAAATATATTTTGTCCAAATTGAACCATAATAATTTTTTTTTTTTACCTAGGAGGGGGGCTACTGGCTGAAATGCCACTGTCTGTTAAAATCCAACAGATTTTCCCCCTACATTTGTAGTTAACATGGGTTTCCCAGGGCCAAGGGACGGGGACCCATGACTCCATCAATCTAAAACTTCCCCTGACTCCACCACAAACATTTTCTTTTTCTCTCTTCTCTCCCTGTCTAGCAGATTTGGACACTCTCCCTTGAAATGGCCTCTCTTTACAGCAGGCACACCAGACCCAAGGGAATGTGAAGGCCTTTTCCTTGTTTACCCTTCTTTCTCTCTCTGCCTGGTTCCCACTGTGCCTCCTTCCTGTAAGCTGCTAACATCTCTTTCCTCTGCTCCTGCTCAAACTTCCATTCTGTGTCCTCTCTGTCATGCAACAAGGGTTGGGTGACCTTTATCAGCTGGGACAAGTTTATCTCTGTAATACCTTCCAATTTCTGCATCTTGCGACACTTTTGTCACCTTCCCTAGATCGGTGGGGTAATGAGCCACAGAAAGAAGCCCTTTCCTCGAAACCTGATGATTTGTCCCTTAGCTAATCTCATTTGTTTCTCAGCCACCTTTCAAACCCTTTCTCACTTCTCTGAAGAAAACAAAGTTAACATTATCTGTTCACACTCACCCCAGGTGGGGCAGTGAATCTCAAACACGACTTCCAGCAAAGTAATCAAAGCCTGAATTTGCTCTGAAAAGGGGGATTTTCAGTTCTCCAATGGCAGAATGAGGATTTCCTCCCAGCTTCATCGCAGCAGCCTGCCCGAGAGGCAAGACTGGGATCAGACTGGAGGAGACTCCCTCATCTGAATCTTCTGTACGCTTGGGGAAGGCTGCCTGTGGCAGTGAGAATAGAAAGCCACAGGTTCAGTGCCACAGTTGAGGAGGAACCTCCCACTGAGGCAAGGGAGTGGGTGTGCAGGATTATGGGGTTAATAATATGCCTTAGTTATTGTGGGCTGATCAGGTCTGCAATCTCCTGAATGAGGTTACAGTGAAGGCTAAATAAAAAGAGGCAAATGGAATGATTTCCTGGCTCCAGGAGGATCAAAGCCCTCTCAGAGTATTCAAGCTTCTCTTGGGGCTGGGATCAAGACCTTCTCTGTTTGGCCTGTATTTATTTGGTTATCAGAAGAAGGGAGGGGAGTACTCAAGAAGCATGGAATCACTCAAGAACTTCTCTAAGTAAGGTATTAAATTAGTCCACTCAGGAGTGAGATGCCTGAGGCTATAGTGTTTATCCAGTTGAGATCTGATCCAAGAGTCCTTGGCTGTGATCTTGTCTTATCCTTTGAGGCTTTCTGACTTCATCCACCACTACAGGCTTTAGTAGAGATTAGTGACTCACAGAAGTTTACTTATTATGAGTCCACCATTTCCAGGTAAGGAGCCTAGGCCTTGGACAGATTCACAAGTGAACATGAAAAGCCCATTGAATAATTTCAATCCTTCTCAGGTCTACTTTGCAGCAGTCTCCATCATTTCCTCCTTTTTGTTTTTGTATTTGCAGCCATTGGAACATGGCGAGGATTGTTGGACTTGGTGTCCCCCATAGCAGACTAAAAACAGAAGTAAAAGGTGCAAACCTGTTAATGTAATCAGTCCATTGAAGAATCTGTGACGCGTGTGTTAGCAGCAGACTTCACCACTGGTTTGAAGATCTCATCCCTCTTTGACAATGCATTCCAGGGTGGCATCAAGTTGTGAACTGTCTTCACTAGGTGGATTTGGTGGATCCTGGTAGAAGGAATCTAGCATGTTTATTGTTGGTTTCATCTATATGGTTACTTGGATTTTCGTAATCTTTTAGACAAGAATAACAAATTTTTTTTGAGAAATTAGTATTACTGTGGCATTTTATACATCTTGTGGTTATACTTCTTGGCTGGTTGTTCAAAGACCAAGTTAAGGTGAGATCTGTATTAATTAAAATTAAGTTCTTGCTATCTATCAGGGTCAGCTAAATCTCAGGATTTACCTTGGAACCATGTACAGTGTCTCTCAGTTCTTCGGTCAGTGTCAGTCCTCTAGATGACTCATGGCCGTTGCTTGACCAAGTTGCTTTTTCTGAAAGCTGGGGAGATTTTTCTGGTGACTCTCTTTAGGCGCACCACATACTGTAGAGTCGATTTCCTCTGTGGTCCCACAATCTCCTTGCTCAGAGGATCAGGAACTCAACCGAGTTATCTGATGTCAAAGCAAAATCAATCAGCAGACAGTACATACAAGAGGAAGGGAGGCGTGGACCTCAGCCCATCCTATCCTGGCAACTCCTTTAATGAGATGTTTTCTTACCTGTGTTTTCAGCAGAAGGATGTCCTATCTTTTATGCTGTCTTCACAAAATTGGCTGTGGGAATCAGGAAACCATTGTTTGATGCCCTTGATATAGTCAATGCTACTGAAGCAGAAAAGGCCGCCTTTGGAAAAATCCAGGATTGCTACAATGAAGGAGGACTCAAAGCCAAGATATTGGATGCTAGTTCCTCGGTAACTTCCTCTCGAATTCCTTTGCTCCTTCTCATCTACAGCATATGGTAGTATTTCCTGTAGAAAAAGATCATAAAATCATATATAGTATGACAGTTGAGATCTCCAATGAAACACAAAGAGCTTTGCTCCATTCTATGGCAAGATCATACCATGTACACATCCAGCCTGTTATGCTGTCACACCTGTTCCTTTAACAACAGTTTGCCTGCACACACAAAGGTAGGCAGGAGAATAGTCTCAGTGAAATGTAGAAAGTGTTTCCACTCCTGTGATTTCCACCCATCCCCGGATTAGAGGATGTAGCACAGCAGGAGCAGTGTTAAGCTTCTGCAGTAAGGAGACTTTAGTGCAGCTCCTGCACATGGAGGAGCCCATGAGGTTTGCTTTAGAGACTGGAAGAATTCTTCCTCATGTGCAGTTTCACTTCCTCTAGTGCCCACCTTGATGGCTACCCCACCAGGTGAGATAGAGCCCCACACCCACCTGCATCGTCTCTGTGCTCACACCCAGAATTTTCACTCCCAGGCTTGTGTCCCTGAGGCCTCTGAGTCAGCCTCTGGCTACATGTAGCTGCTTACCCAACCTGCTCTGTGCATCTCCTGACTTTTTAAAAAGGGTTCTTCTTCCCCTATTATGCAGATTTCCCATGGTCTGTATCTTACCCTATATTCCAAAGTGCTTTTATTGTCAGATTGGCAAAGTGAGTGATCTCCCAACCAAGGAACAGGATTTCTTGTAGTAAGATAAGCACACAAGACCCACGAGGTTGCTTATTACATGTACATGTGCATTTCATATGTACAGGACACTTAGCAGATGGTTTCAAGTAGGGGAGACTGCATAACAACCCACACTCAGACACCTTGCTCCTCTCACACACCTGGCCCCTACCATGCCTTCCAGAACCTCCTCATCTTCCCGGTCTTGCTGGTTTGGTTGTACAGACTCCCTTTTGACAGTCATATACGGGTGGTCAGGGGACCATCTTCCTCCTGCCAGGGCCAGCCTTCCTCCTGAGGACCTGTGGGCCAGAGCTTCCTGGGAAAGTAGGTGAATCACAGAGAGTTTTCCCTCTTTGCAGATGAGCAGTAGGGTGATTCTGGGAGAACCAGATAGTCCTTCCAAAGGCCCAGAACCAGCCTGAAGCCAACTCTGTCTGTCCTTGTCTTACTTTCTTCCAGCTCCAAATCGCCTTACACAAACAATTCTCATCGGAGAATCCATCAGTGTTCCAGGATATTGCAAACATTGCTGAATATATTCGCGCACTCTTCTCACAAAACAAAGAGTTGAATCTTTGCCACTGGTGCCTGATCCTCGCACTATCGTCCCGCCCTGTTCTTCTCAGCTGAAGCTGGAATGCAGACATCTGCCCTCACCTGTTCTGCATTAGGTAATTCTAATAAAATCCCTGCAGCTCAGCTATGTGTGTTGCATAAGTGTGTGCTGGGTAGGAACTGTGTGGCCTGACAGAGCTCTTGGGAGGTGGTGCGAAGTGACACAAGATGTCACTGAGAGCATGGGGACTCAGTCACCTGGAGCAAAGACAAACCTAAGCTCTGCCTTTCACACACTATATGATCACGCCAGAGATATTTTTTCTTTCTGAGGCTGTAAAATGAGTATTACATGTGGATTCTCTAGCTTATATGTAACTGCACATTTCATGAGCCTGGACAGATAGAAATGGAGTCAACAGCTAGTGACAACCTTTGTTGGGCTCTGGCTCTGGTCACATGGGCCTCTAGCTCTTTCAATATCAGTCCAGTAATTGCCATGTGACTCAAGATGTGACTTGGGGGCACTGATCACAAATCCTCTTGTTTTCCCAGTGGCGTTCGCCACTTCTCATATCCTAAGTTGATGCTTCCCTAGGATCTTGACATTTGTTTTTCTTTTCTTCTCTGGTCTTTTTGTTGTTGTTGTTGTTGTTGTTGTTGTTGTTTTTCTGGTCTTTGTAATGCTTGATACACTGTGTCAAAATGACAAGTTTAAAAGTCTAACTAAGCAACTCAGCCAGGGGCCAGGATCCTCACTTTGTAAATGTCCTCATCCTGTGCAAGAGGAGGGCTTGCCATAATGTGAATGCTACACCTGTCCTAGTGGGTGATAACCTGCTTACAATATAAGGGAAAAAAAGAGGCTTGCTCTTTCCCCCTTCCTGCTTTTGTTGCTTTTGCTATCTTGTTCTGCCTTAAAGTGTTGCCTCTGTGCCACTCCACCCTGCCTTGGAGCCAGCTGATTATGGACAAAAGTCTCCACAAACTGTGCACTTAATAAAACTTCCCTTCCTTAATTTTGGGTAATGGGTATTTTGTGTAAACAACAACAAAAAAAAAAAGTAACTAAGACAGTCTTTCTGAGACAGGGCCTCACTATGCAATTCAGGCTGGCCTTGAACTCACTTTGTAGCCCAGGCTGGTAGCATTCCTCATGCCTCAGCTCGTGAGTGCTTGGACTACAGGTGTGTGCCACTTCGCAGGTGAAGCCTAACCTTTCTGCATAGATAAGCCTGTCAGTTCTGACCCTAGGACCTGGATACCACCTGTCTTGGTCCCAGAAGATGGGAGAAAGGCAGTGAATGGCAGATCTCACCCCGAGGAAAAGCTGGTATCATGGAAAAATCTCAGACCCGTGGGTCTTATTTGCAGAATGTGCCACTTGAGACAAGTGTCATGAGCCCTTGGAGCCTGCTTCCAAAAACCGCTTAGCTGATTTCACTTACCAGGAGGCTATGTGTGATGTTAAAAGACAGAGCAGATTTAACTTCTGACTCTGAGAGACTAGACCAGACCGGGGCTGCTCTGAATTTAGCGTACAAGGAGTGTGGCATACCTTCCAGTATCTGTCAACTTTCCCAGGCCAGAATGAGCGTCAATGTAAGGTGAATATCAGTAGAAGACAACATTCAGGGATCTGATCATGAGGCTCAGGGCCACCCACAGACTAGGTAAGTGCTGCATCACTGAGCCTTATCCACATGTCATTTTATTTTTTAAATTATTTGTATTATTGTGGAGTAGGGATTGAACCCAGGGTCTCACCCTCACTAGGCAAGAGCTGTGCTACTGAGCTGCACCTAAGCCCTGAACATAATCATTTTAACTCACCTGTTTGCTCTTTTTTTTTTTTTAACCTTGACTTTATTTCTTACAAGTGCTGTGCACTCTGCGAAACTTAAATATGAGGTCATGCTGGAAGGACTAAAGTTTTATTGAGAAATAACAAAATACAATTTTATTTGGTAAAAGCTCAGTTAACACCCTTGAGTGGGGCAAATTGACATTTATAAAATGTCAGCTATTCCGTGTTCTCTTAAATTAGTATTTGTTCTGATAAAGATTGAATTAAATCTTATCTGATAGAATAAATACCTGAAATAAACCAAGGAAATTTAGGGAAAGAAGAACTAGGAGTAGAATCTTTTTACCAGGCATTATAATGCAGGTTTCAGAGCTCAATTTTAATATCCTATTTTTAACAGAGCAATAGATGATCACTGAGATAGAAGGCGCACAGACACAAAAACAGGTGTGATAAAAAATGGCTGCTAATTCAATCACAGAAAAAGAGTGGATTGTTCAAAACGCCATCAGGCATAGTAGCCAAAGTGCGAGAGTCAATATTGACCCGTCATGTATTTCACTGTACAGTAATGATTTAGGGAAAACCAAAATGGTGAAGTAGCAATCAACAGCAAAGTTCATCCTCTTGAGGCCTGGAATACAGATATTTGAAAAATAACAACTTGGCAAAGAGACAGGGAGAGGAAAAAAGAGATCTCTGAGAATTAGAAAAGAAGTGACAGGAAAATTAAGGATACAGATAAACTTGAGAGACAGAACACAATGCAGAAAAAAATAACAAAGCTGTCTGGAAGCTTACCGTGGTTTGGAGATGCAAGGTCAGCATCCAGGGTTGAGAGCTCCAGGGAGAAATGGAGGGCCGTGCAGATGTCGCTGGCCCCAAGAGGCACCCACAGATTTTATGAACTGTGAAAGGGGTGTAGGATATTTCTCTAAGGTGACTCCTTCCTACACAGCAGCCAACAGTGTAGAGGGAATCATGCCAGTGTGACTCATGCCATATATACATATATTTTTTGTTTTGGTTTGGTTTTTTGAGACAGGGTCTTGTTATGCAGTTCAGCCTGGCCTTGAGCTCACTTTGTAGCCCAGGCTGCTCTCAAACTTGCAATGATCCTCTTGCCTCAGCCTCCCAAGTGCTGGGATTACAGGCATTCGCTACCATGCCTGGCTGGCTCATGCTGTATTGCCAGAGAATGTATAATCAGGTACCATTTTGGTGTTTAACCAGGAAACCAAATAATCAAATTTGGCTGATTTTCTAAGGGTGGGACTCGGAATAACTAAAAAAACAACTTCACT